GTTGACCTGCTTGCACAAAAGTTGAAGTTGTGTGTGTGAGAGAGAGAGAGAGAGAGAGAGAGAGAGAGAAAGAGAGAGAGAGAGAGAGAGGGAGAGCTTTCTCTGTGAGTTGCATGCTGCTGACCGAGTGGTTTGACAAAGCCGGAGAGAGACCTGAAAGCATGGGAGGAATAAAATGGCATGCAGCGTCTCCAGAAGAACGAGAATGTCTTGAGGCTCACCGTCTCCGCCGGTTCAATTCGAGCTCGATGACACAGAGAGGGGTCACAATCTGAAGGTGTTAAGATCGATCCATTTCCATTCAACTTGCCCGATGAGGTCAAAGATCTACGCTTGCAGCTCCCATGTCCACCACCCTTCGTCACACGGCAATCTCCCTCTTTCCTCACGACTTCTTCACGTCATCATCAGAAGGAGAATGGAATCAAGTGCGATGGTGTCGGCACGCGATTCCAAGCGTGCTTTGACATAATCTCTGACGGCCTCACGTCCCGGTTTCAGCAGGCATGCAAGCACGAATCACGACGAAGAAAGGATGGGTTGGCATCGAACGTCGAAAGAGAGAGAGAGAGAGAGATCCTACCGACGTTTACTCGAACCATGGTCAACTAGACTGGGGCTGCAGCGTGCAATGCAAAACAGGACGATCACTTAAACTTGTAATGGTCATTTGTCTGATCATTAGCATATATTTTATATATGATATTAATAATAATTAGATGATCACCTACAATAATATGTATACGTGTCATTATAGCAAGCCTTCAGAACCTGCCCTCTTATGAGCTGGTTGAACCCAAGCAAGCCTTCCCCTCTCTTGCTGGGGCTGGTCCTAAAGCATGCTCTGTTCCCCACCTTACCTCTCTTTCCCCATGCAACTCCATTGGGTGCCAAACTGGGCTTCCCCTCCTATTCCATCTCCGTTCTCGTGCTTCTTTTAGCTGCACTGCTTTAGAAATTGCGAGTCAAGAGGGAAATGGCAAGGAGCAGAGCACGACCACCGACTCCCAATCATATTTATCTCAAGTGTGTGTGGCACGGTGGAAAACTGCAATGATTAACGTCATTAGAATAAGCAGGGTGGTTATCGGCACACCAAATAAAAAGGCCTCCCTCCCACTCTCTCAGCCTTTGTGCGTCGAATCAGCTTTTCGCATGCCACTGTTCTGCCCCCCCATTCCTTAAGCCTCTTCAACGTGCAAACAGGTGGTTTTGGCTGAGCGCTTATTTGTTGGGCTATATGAGCATTCTACTCACCAGAGGCGGTAACGCGGCTCTTCTCCCTTACCTCCCTCGGTTGGCTTCGGTGCGTCGCAATCTCACCACCGTTACCGTTTCAGCGGCGGCACCACCTCAGAACCGCCGCCACCAACTGGATATGTGCCGGGGAAGATTAACACCCGAACGCTATTGTGTCGAAGGTAATGGTGATGAGTGGAAGGAGAGCGTCGTGGTGGTCATGGGCGCCACCGGGACGGGGAAGTCGAAGCTGTCCATCGACCTGGCCACCATGTTCGCCGGGGAGGTGGTGAACTCCGATAAGATTCAGGTGTACCGGGGGCTCGACATCACTACCAACAAGATGCCCGTCCCGGAGCGCTGCGGCGTGCCGCACCATATCTTGGGGGAGCTCGACCCTGCGGTGAGCGAGCTCCGGCCGGAGGCGTTCCGCGAGATGGCGGCGGGCGCCATCGCCGGGATTGCTGGACGCGGCCTGCTTCCGGTGCTTGCCGGTGGGTCCAACTCCTTCATACACGCCGCCATGACCACCAGGTACGACCCTGTGCGGAGCCCGTTCGCGGCGGGCTCGCGGTTGCTGACGAGGAGGGAGGCGCCAGCGCTGAGGTACCGGTGCTGCTTCCTGTCGGTGGACGTGAACGCGGCGGTGCTGGCGGAGCAGCTCGACCGACGGGTGGAGGAGATGGTGGCGGCGGGAATGGTGGAGGAGCTGGGGCGGTACTTCGCTGCGGAGGCGGAGGCGGGGGAGTCGAGGCACCCGGGGCTGGGGAAGGCGATCGGGGTGGCGGAGTTCCGGGAGTACTTCAGGGGGGAGGGGCGGGGAACTGCGGCAGCGTACGAGGCGGCAGTGGCGGCCATCAAGGCGAACACTAGGCAGCTAGCGGAGGAGCAAGTACGGAAGATCGAGCGGCTGGTGGAGATGGGGTGGCCGCTGCGGAGGGTGGATGCCACCACGGCCGTGGCGGCGCGGCTTGCTGGGGAGGCGGCGGAGGCGGAGGCCGCGTGGGAGAGGGACGTGGCGGGGCCGAGTGCCACGGCGGTGGAACAGTTCCTAGGCGAGGAGGTCCACGTCCATCATCATCACAACATCGTGTCTCCTCCTCTGCTTTACACTTAGTCGAGCTTTTGGTCGCGAACTGCTTCCTTTTACCCCTTCCCCTTCCTCCGTTCAGAATAGTAAAAAGGAAACAAACAGAGCAGACAAAAAGAGAAGGAAAGAAAATGTTTTTTTTTTTTTTTGTAATTTTGAATTTTATTTTTATTGGCCACAGAAAGAGCGAAAAGAGAAACGAAAAAGGGTGATTTATTGTGGGGTTGAAGGGGAAATGGAGGGTTAAGCGACCGAAGTCGGCGGATTTGGGCGTGTCAAGTTGCCTCTTTGTTCAGAACAGAACAGAACAGAACAGAGCAGTGGAGGAAAACAACAAAAGAGGTGAACATGGCGACTGCAGACGCCTCCATTTACGTCTTCATCCCTTTCCTATTTGTTAACCTTAGTGAATGGAAGCCTGTGAGGCTCTTCCCGATCGTGCTTTCAGAGTTGATAGTTAGAGAGAGAGAGAGAGAGCTAAACATGTGAAAACAACATAATTGTACAGTGTTCTGCCACAGAATCATTTAAACAGCGCTAGTGTTGCTCATCTTCTTCCCCACTGATCCCATTCTCATTCCCGACCCCCAAGCTTGACATGGTGTGGCGGTTGTTGAGGAAGGACGCATTTACAAATGATGCGTGTAGCCCATAGCCGACCGAGTCTCTAGTGGTAATGGCAGCGGAAGCATCATGAAGCATACGGAACTAAGTACAGCGGTGGGCTCATCCCATATGATGATGATGCTGCACCGAAGGGGATGCAAGGTACCTGTGCTTACGAGGAGGATAAAGGACTGTGAGCTGATGATGATGATGAGGAGGTCGCGTCGCCAAAGTGTTCGACGAAAGGCCGTCCCATCAATGGTTCGACCGACGCCGATGGGACAAGACCTCCGCGTCCCACTTGGCTTTGCCCAGGGATTGAGAAGGGTCGGACTCGGTTCGTGATCTACAGCTCACAGACCATCACACATAGGACCGTGCACTGTGGATGTGTCCACGTCTGCGTTGTAGATGGGCGGCCGCATGGATTCCCGAATCGTATGTTGCACCATCGTCTCATTAGCTACATGTGTATAATATATAAATACTGATAACTACCATCTCACTCTATTATGGAACTCATTCTGCCTAGTTTAATAAGATCAATTTGTACGACAAAATCAAACTCCACCAAACACCAACGGACCATGATTTTGGCGTTGGGTGAATCCATTAGAAAAAATTGGAGTCTGCATGACATAGTTGAGGTTGGAGAACAGACATGGAGTTGGGATCCGATACATGTACTAGGTCAAGAGTAGTGAGACGGAAGCATGTCTCCGTTTGGTGCGCCATGTGGGTTTGGAATCATCTCTAAATAATTAATGTGGTCTATTGCACCGGAAGATCTGGTTTTGGTTGAGACTATTGCTTGCACTACGTTGGAGTTCCTTGGTGGCATTACCTACTAAATTTTGTATCCAAGAATCCGTAGGAGATATCCTCCGCATTCCCATTCATGTCAATAGATATCGTTGCCCCCTATTCCAACCACTAGAAGCTAAGTCTCAAAATAATGTAGCGAATATATCGTTGTAGGTCGTTAAACGATTTGGAAATCTCCTCTTGATTCTTTTCGTTCTCGATACCATCTCATTGCTCCCTCCCTGTTCACACTTGTAGAAGCAAGCTGAACCATGTGAATGTAAGGAGACCGTTGAATAGAAGAAGGTGCAGAGGTCCTATCATGCCCATTTTAATTCAGATAAATATAGAAGGGGAATAGGTAACCCGAATTGATTGTCCCATATGCTAAGGAATCAAACCTGATTCAAATTTGTCAAGAGATGAGTGGATTCACTCAGAATCTTGCAAAGTTAAGTGGGATACGTGTTTGGCATTAGTTCCTCTTATATTTAAGTAAATAAAGATAAAAAAAACATGTAAAATAGTATTTGAAGGATCTAGAGAGGTCCAAGTGAAATAATATTCCTGATGCCTTTTTATAGGAGGCCTCAGATAAACAATCACATGAATTAAGTGAAAAATCAATTCATCTAGGTGGTTAGACAGAAGCATCTGTCGAGTATCGTGGCTAGTGGTATTTTGCTAACCACATGGGTCGAATGGCTGACATGTCATGCTAATGAGATGTTTGAATAGGTGTCAGACCAATAACGATGTGATGTCTATGTCTAGATGCCTACATGTCAGATATCCGTTATCGTCTATCCGTAATCATCTAGGACATCAAGGACAACCCTCGGTCCCACCAACTAGTAATGCACTGACCAACGATCCATAGAAGATTGCTAATCTTTTTCTTTAGATGATTGATGATTGAAAAGGACCACACCTTACGCAACAAATCACTTTCCCTTCATCCTTCCCACTTCGGTTTTACTCATGTTTGATGTGATTTTAATTGAAATACAAATCAATTCAAGAAATAGGGAGTCTTCGAACTGAATTTACTCAAACACACCCCTGCGGCTAATTATGGTGTTGCTGAAAGAAACAAAAACCTAACATCCACTGTTTAATGACATAATAACAGAGCAATATCATCTTATGGCAAAGAAAGAAAATAAGAATCGCATTTAAAGACTAATATGAACTTCCACATCATTCAAGAGACCCATCCGCAACTGGGTACTAAGATGAAAGAACATACTGACATGAAAGAACAGTAGCTATAAGAAACAATGAAAACAACATGAGAACGATGTACCTGTGGATTGATAGAATAACCGGAGAGTTTCTTCTTTCTTTCTAATTCTTCTTTTCTCCTTTCTCTTCCTATATCAATCACACCTTGATAATGCAGTCGATCTGACCACTGTGAAACACTATTGACTTTTGTCAGCTGGAGAACATTGCCTAGCTACACCGCTCAGCAATGGAGTTCAGATCATCCAAACGTGAAACATGGACTTTCTATTCCATATCAAAATTGTCTAGAGAGGCACCTGTCAATTGTACTGATGATCAGACAACAGCATAATGAAAACGTTGAAATCACATGTCGACACTTGAATTTCTCACTACACTACACTAATTTTTTTTTTTTGCTAGACTGACTATTCTGCATGCTGAACGATTCACATAATGCAGTTGAAATCAAAAACAAATACAAGAACATATTGACTAGACAGGCCAGAACAAATAGGGCCTCACAAGCCTTACAAGTCATCTAACAACCTTCTCAAAGTAGAATTGGTTTATTGGGCTTTGGACCTAACAAATTGAAAATGTAACAAAACTTCCCTACAAATGATGACAGGATTAACTTCAATTATCATCCTTAGGCACAACCCAATGCGAATTACAAGAGCTTGATTCAACAGAAGAATTCAAGTTCCTGTAGCCACATCCTTCATTCAACCAAAATTAATAGTTTGCTCACCGAAAATCATATCATACAGTTCCATTTGTTAAATTATGAAATTTTAAGATACTTGTATATGGATAATATAAGTTTAGACTCCATAGATGAAAATTACGTAAATTGTTTTCAGCAAGGTAGGTTTCATATATCGTAAGCTGTAAGCAAGTACCATTCATCACAGAATGTTCATTTCATGTTATGCTACTGTTACAGCTACCATATAAACACCGCCACAACCTAAATCTGAAATGTAAACAGTGAAAAGTTAAAGTGGTTTGACAATCAGATGGACTGTGTTAAACAATCTTAGTTTCAATTCACAAATACACTCTGGACAACCAAATAAAGTTGTTAAAAGACTAGGTTGCTTGTAGGCCAGAAAGTATGAGGACAAGCATAAAAAGAGAATATAGGCATGCAGAAAAGAGCAACCTGACTAAATTTCAACTCAATTAGAAAAGATGAGTTTGAAGTAGCAAAGCATGATCCAGAGTTCTTTTTCATTCCACCTTGTAAGTAACACTTGTAGCCAACAGTATCCTATACCAGCTTTCACCTTTTCTAGGAACAACTTCTCTTCATTTTAGTATACAAGTAAGATTTTTCTCTTCCTAATTAATACTTAGTACCTAAAGTGATTACACATGCCTGCTTTATGACCTTATATGCTACTTATTTGAATAGAACAATATATGCCACAATGGATTAGTACAATTTGAAGAAAAAAGACTGGAAAAACTCATCGATAGATACTGATTACAAAGTAAAATGCACTGCAGAAGTGCAGATATTATGTATTAGAAGAGAAAAATATGCACAAAGAAAAACTACATACCTCTGTATGGCTCCTTTACCAATGGCTTCCCACAATAAGCAAGTTAATGATTAACCATGCAACTGCTTCATATATGGCTTCTTTTCAATCTCCCAGTTCAGTAATTGTTTCTGCAAGACTGCAACTCTCTAAGATACCCAAAACAAAAGTCATTAAAACATACTCCTAATTTAACAACAGTGTCTGATCATGGCTGCATGCATATTCAAGGCAGTCATCTCACAATATGTGCTGTATGTTGACAGTCTTCTTAATAGCATATCAGCTATAACAAAGTATTTATGGACCACTAAATATAATTTGATATTGGACTAGAGAATGTGAGTTTGTTAGCATAAATAGTAAATTGGACTTCAGCTAGTTTGCTCCTGTTCTGCGCTACATAAGACTTTAAAAAGAGCAAGTAAATGAGATTAAAAACACACAGTGAATTGTTTGTGGATTGAGTATTTTTGTTACTTGGGCTCAAGATCAAGCATCATGAGCCGAATGGACCTTAGTTCCTACAAGGTTACTGCTATAAATTAGGATCTGATGTTCAACTCAAAAGGGCACATCTAGGATACAGATATTAAGATATGGATCACTCTAAAAATATATTCAAAATAATCTCTACGTATCTAATAGTATAACAACACATCATCCATATTCAAATGGAGTCATATTCTACATATCAAATCTCTATCATGGATAAAAATGTAAAGTTCCTCAAACTAGCAGGATCTTATTTTCTGTACGGACAGAACAAGAAAACAGATTTTTAAAAGGCTAATGCAGATATGGACTGGCTAGCCAATCTTGCTAGGTTTTATTGGAGGCTAAACTTGGAATTACCACTTCTTTAATTAGTTGTCCAAAAAAATGACTCATCATGTACCTAGGATTTTTCAACCATTCTTTTGGTGCTAATCAATCCCAATTCTTGTGTTAGTCAAGACCAAGTCTCTGGGGGTAGCCCTGGGGCTATTGGCAATCCTGCCTAATCTGCCTGTAGCTAAATCTCGACTGATTCTGCCAATGAAATCAATCTCAAGTATCCAAATCCAATAGGACGATACAAATTTGTTGATCTGATTAGTTCAATCCAACACTGATCCATAGTGCCCATCTTGAACTCAATCTCAAATTTTTTTATCATGCTACTAACAGCTGTCATTTGAAACAAAAGCTCAGATATTGCACTTATATGAGAATCATAGCTCGGCTCACCTGCTTGCATGCAAAGCCCCGACTAAAACCACACTATAAAAATTAATTTTGCCAATAACAAAATATTGGGCATCAATCGAAAAAGATTAAGTTAATCTGGTCATATTGACCACTGCAGCCAAATAATTGTAATGTCCAGAACCCAGATATTTTCTAGAAAAATCTATAGTATCAAGTATCAACATTGCCAGATGCAAGATAAGTGAAAATAATCCACATTGGATGGCAGTTAACATCACCCAAGAATATGGTGTCATTATGCCAATTGAAAGTACCAACGACAACTAGGGCATTCGACGTCCCTGCAGACGGACAGTTTTTATTGCGTGATGCTACTACTTAAGTGAATAATTAGGCATTTTCAGTCGAGTGCCACAAACTTTCCTTGTGTTTTCTCTAATTGCGCAAATCCTACAAATCAATCCCCAAAATCAACAATGCAAGTAGTTATCTTTTTCTTTTCTAAAATCTGTGCCAAATAGTATTCATAAATTCGAATCAAATAAAAAACCGCATAGAGAAGGAATAGAAACAAGGGAAATAAATCGACATCAGCACCCTAACGATACGAGAAGGCGAAGAGAAAGAATCATCTGCAACTGGAAGAAGTCGAGGGAGCAGCTCGGGCATCGGAAACGGGAGGGAATTGGAGGCGTTCTGTTTGGCAAAGAAATCAAATGGAACGGAAGAATCAGAGAGGTCGCTCGCTTCCTTTTCGCCGGATCCCATCGCCTCTCCCGATCTCGCGAAGAGAGGCGGACGGCGTGCGATTTCATGTAGGGTTTTTGTCGTGACGCGCCAAATAAACACGAGACGGGAGCGTCTTGTATCGGGTCCAAACCCGGTCGACGTCGTAACCGGGTAGAGTAGGTCAAGCAAGACAGTTGCATTGAGAGTTGTGATAGACTCGATCCACCACGTCAGCCGCAAAAATGAGGTCCTACGCGTCATTTTATGATTCGTCGGATGGAATTACTGAACTCAAACTACTGTTTTTTAACGGGTTTCTTCACACATCTATTACTTGTCGGAAGTATAGATATATATTATTAATTTAAATTCAAATTTTAGGTATAAAATTGCTCACCCACGTCATCAAAGCCGAAATATTTTATTTATTTATTTTTAAGAATAAATTATCGAAAAACTTTTATTTTAAAACTTTCTCATGTAAAATCTTAATTTTAAATTTTTTTATAAAATATCTCTTATTATATAAAGTATCTTTCACCCCAGCTCTTATTTGACGAATGATATTTTTGTGTAAGAAAGAAAAGGGCATGATGATAATAACAACCCTATCGTATTAAAAAGTATTTGATGGGATTATCATTGTCACTCGTTGTAAAGGTAACGATAGATTCGATAAGATAAAGTGCATCCGATGGAGATAAAAGTAAATTAATTTTTTATGAGTAAAAAAAAATTAATTTAGAGACTGTATGAAAATTTTTTAAAACAAAAGCTTTTTCGAAAATTCTTTTTTTAATAGAAATATTTACGTCCGTCAAACGATTTAGGAGCAATAATACACCATCCATAGCAGCACATCCAACGCAGTCCGTGGACCACCGCCAGGTCAATTACTCAGCTCAAAACCCTTCCACTCGATCCCACTCGAACGATCCCATCATTACCGGAGTAACATCTTGAGGACGGGAATCGATTCGTCTACCCGACGAAAGCTCTTCTCCTGGCCCCGCGACCTCGAACTCGCTGCAGATCTCACTCGGTCTCGTCCTTTTTTCCCCGTTTTTGGAAGACCTCGTTGTTGGTTTTGCTTCTTGTAATTTTTGAAGGAGGATTTGGAGCTTCTCTCTGGCCGTGGGGCTGGTTGGACTGGTTTGGAGGGCGGGAGGAGAGGAAGGGGGCAGGATGGCGTCGGGGAGGATAGGAGGTCCTTCAGCGCCGCCCGTCCGGCGTGATCCCTACGAGGTACTCTGCGTGTCGAAGGATTCGTCCGATCAGGATATCAAAGCCGCGTACCGGAAGCTTGCTCTCAAGTTAGTTCCCTTTTCTTCCATTCATTCCGTATTCCCATCTTTCCAGCGTGTCTGCGCGGAAGGTCCTTTGTAGTGGAAAGCAAACATGTCGTATGTCTAGTTGCTTTTCTTGATCGTTCTTGCCTACATTTTGTACCATTGTAATGGTTCTCAGTGCACTTGTAATTGGGAAGAAAACACGAATGGCAGAACAAGGATAAAGTGATCTTGTCACATAACAGAGGATAACATTTTACCGTTAAATAGGTTTTGAAATTTTGAAGTGAAAGGGGTGACCATTTTCTCGTAGTATAAAATTGATAATTTAACAGTGCCAGAGAATGCTTTTATGCTTGAATAGCCGTACAAGTGAAATTTCTGACACCAGATGGGTTGGTTAAGAGGAATCTCTGCTGCAGAGCTCGGTGTGTGTTTCATAAGAAGAATGCTAATTATGTTCACTACTTGTTTCTCAGTTGTGCTGTGGAAAAATCTGGGAGGATACATATTTCTATAGGATTGAAACCAAGGTCATGCCATTAGGACTGGAGTCCAGATGGTGTTTGGATCATTTCAAGGGCAAAACATTGATTTAAAATTTTAGAAAATGCATGGTTGACGCTACAGTCTATCATCTCTGAACAGGAAGAAATCAGGAGAAGCCTGATGAAGCAATAATCAAAACCATCAAGGAGGCCATTAGAGTTAAGTCTACAATGAAAACCATTGTTGAGGATAATATTCATCCTAGAGATTTTTTACTGCATTGGTGTATTACTGTAATTTCGTACATGATTGCTACATTGCCTGACTTCTGTAAACATAGCATCATAGCAAGTTTACCAATACCTTCAAATCATGGGATGTAGGAAGCGGATTCTACTAGTTGATAACTGTTAAATCCTTTCTGCAATATTTTAAATTGTGGAATCTGTGTTGTTTCTTCTTTTTACATCTCACATGGGAAGTAATTTTTCTATCTTATACCAACAGGTACCATCCCGATAAAAATGCTAGCAATCCTGAAGCATCTGAACTTTTTAAAGAAGTTGCATATTCCTATAGTATCTTGTCAGATCCAGAAAAGAGGAGGCAATATGATGCTGCTGGCTTTGAGGTGGGTGCTTCTTAACGGTTAAGTTCACAAAATAAAAAAATATAAATGGATTGCTTGCTTTAGTTTATACTAATTTTTACCAACATAATGAATAATAACACTAATATAATGAAGTTCATTATGTTCAAGGTGAATGTTCAAGGTCATGTGATCTTAAGCAATTGGTACCATACGAATCTGATGAACTAGAATCTGGACGATCCATGAATCGAGAAATAAAATAGATAAAGTAGTAGAAACATAATGATGATATATGAAAATATGACAAGCAAGCAGATTGGCTATAGAAATGGTAAAACTGGTGAGTCCCATCAACCTGAGGAAGGCCTGCAGGTAACAGTAAGGAAGAGATGATGCATGGAGTTGCTGACATTCTCCTTGTTGTTGAAAGGGTAGAATCTTCTCGTTCAGGTTCCTTCCTTTTTCAATGTTCTAAATTATGAAATCTTTTTGTGCCTCTATTCCAAGAATCATTGGTACTCCTGGAGCCAACAAAACTAGAATAAAATCCACTCATTGGAAATCCTGCTAAAGAAGATTGGAATAAGATGCTACTTGTAACATTTGTGATTGCCCATGTGAAATTGCATATCATCTTTAACCATTCTTTCACCAAATAGATTGGTTGAGCTATCTTCTATCAACTTTTTTTTTAACCCAAAGCAAGAATCTTCTATCAATTTAGCATGCAGCAAGAACCAATCAAAGTTATCCCTTGACAAACTGACTATGGTATTACTAGATCATGACATCTTCTAGGTTCTCTAGGTTTTTGTATCTGTGATTTGATATAGATAGTTTTATGTTTTTCTTTTTTTTTTCTTTCATTTTCTTTATGATTTATAAAAATTTCTTCAATTCTTTCAAAGCTATCACTTGTAAGATTTTCTTTTGCCAGAAAAACTTCTCTGGAAAGGGAAAATGTTTTTTTCCACACTTTGGAATCCATTTAATGTCTAGTTATAGGGTGGTCCTCAACATCTTTCTGTTATAACTACTTAGTTGTTTGTGTTGTCTTGGCTTAGGCTTTTGAAAGTGAAGGCATTGATATGGAGATTGACTTGTCAAGCCTTGGAACTGTCAATACAATGTTTGCAGCTCTTTTTAGGTGACAGTTGAACAAAGTTGCATGATTTAGTTTCTAGGCTATTTTATCCCTAAGCCTGTACTAATTCTTTAAAGCCTTTAGCAAGCTGGGAGTTCCTATCAAGACTACAATTTCTGCCACTGTTCTTGAAGAAGCTTTAAGTGGAACTGTCACAGTTAAACCACTTCCTCTTGGAACATCAGTCACCGAAAAAGTATGTTTTTATATTTTGATAGGAAGACATGCCAATAGCGTATTTTTATTTCTAAATCTCTTTCGTGTTAATGCAGGTGGATAAGCAAAGTGCTCATTTTTTTGGTGTAACAATTAATGATCAACAAGCTCAGGCAGGGATTGTTGTTCGAGTAACTTCGGCAATACAAAGTAAATTTAAGGTGAATAAAATAGGCAAACTTTTCCAAACAACTTGTGGTTTTATTGATTTCCAATATAAACTAAATATTGCATTGCTTTCTTCAGTTATTATATTGTATGCTCTTTCCATTATCAATTTGTACTCTGCTGAGCTAACTTCATCTGACACTGTATCATTGTTTCAGCTACTTTACTTTGAGCAGGAAGCTAATGGTGGCTATGATTTAGCATTACAGGTCTATATCTAGTTCTTTTGGCTTTTAGACTGTTCGCTACTCAATTACGAGCAAAAGATAGAAGTATCAATGCTTTTTATGCTATATAAATTAATTTCTTGCTTCATATTGTTCCTTTAACCAACATAAAGATGATTAAATAATTAACATTTGAAGGTGAAATTATAAAATATCTGTAATCAGTAGTACTCATGTCCTGAAGTAGACATGTTTAGAGAAATTCTAATGTCAATAGCTTTTTGCTTTTAGTTTTGGGTTAATCTTGCCACTTACATCTCACTACTATTTTGTCGTGTCTGATGCAGATGACTATCAAAACGTTTGTGGCTTATATTACTTGTTGATCATACATTGACAATAATCTGTCTTCACTTCTGAGTTTAACTTTCAAGCTTCATCTCTGATATCTGTTGGAATACCTAATAATCATATAGATTGGTTAATGATTCATATTTTTCACTATAGCATTCTTGAATTTTACAGCCATTCATTCAGTCATAGAAGCAAGAAGTTTGCTAAGACTGATATGATCCTGTGGATATAAGATTTATTTATGATCCTTTGCTTTCTATTTATGGACTTGACGTCTCAATGGCAACTTCTTCAGTCAGCCACCTTGGCATTCTTTGGCCACAAAGCAATGTGGCTGAGTGCAAGAAATTTGCACAACTAGCATGGTTTAAAGCACCATGCAGTACCAGGAGAATATTAGTCTTGGGTATTGCATGTATGCTGTGCTAGTGAAAAGAAGGCAAAGCACATCCATAGAGGCATGGAGCATCCTGTCATGCCAAGTGTATACCAAGACACCTTGTTCCTGCTAGCTCGTATACTTCCCAAGCATGTTAGAACATGTTGATTAGGAGCGCATATGTCTTGAAGGACATATATATCGTTCTCTGCCAAAAATTTGTCTTGGTATGTTACTTGGAGATATGTTGGGACACAACACTTAAAGCCCCTACCTCTATGAGGAATTCTTTGGCCATATTATGACTAGACAATCAGTAATAATA